AAACCCTAAACCCTAAACCTGCGGAATGATTTCGCATGGGGCCCTGACAGCTTCGGAGCCCCATGCCCCCGTTTATGTCCGGTTACGTCTGAGATATTCGGGGTGGAGACAAGGTGGGTGCCCGTCTCCTTCTCAGATGACGTCTCGCTCTCTTTCTCTCTCTTTCTCTCTCTCTCTCTCTCTCGCTCTCTTTCTCTCTCTGTCTATCTCTCTCTCTCGCGCTCTCTCTCTCTCTCTCTCTATCTCTCTCTCTCTCTCTCTCTCTGTCTTTCTCTCTCTCTCTCTCTCTCTACAAACACACAAGTTATCTCAGAGTTCTGCAGGGATCCAGGGTTCAGGTTTTGGGGTCTGGGCTTCGGTTCACGTCGAGCATATCTGAGAAGTTCTTTGTCGTCTATACAGCACACGAGCTTCATATCCTTGCACGTCTGAAACAGTAGTAGATGTACTGTGAAAGCACAGGCTCGAAAGTTCTAAAACCTAGCCCAAGCATATCCTCCCCGTTCTTCTTCTGCTTCTTTGCTCTTGCCGTTTTAAGAAGTTAATAGTGACCCCAAACCCCAAACCCCTAAACCCTAAACCCTAAAGCCCTATTTAAACCCTAAACCGTAAACCTTAAACCTTAAACCACAAGCCCTAAACCCTAAAACCCTAAAACCCTCAACCCTAGACCCCAAGCCCTAAACCCTAAACCCTAAAACCCCTAAACCTTCAAGTGGCGACTCATTGCTGCTGTGCAGCCCGCGAAAGCCTCTGCTCCTGTGAAGCCGATGACGCCGAACCTCTGCTGGGACCAGAGGGTTTTGGGAGTAGGGTTTAGGGTTTTAGGGTTTAGGGTTTAGGGTTTAGGGTTTAGGGTTTAAGGTTTAGGGTTTAAGGCTTAGGGTTTGGTTTTTTAGAGCTCCTTTTTCCGGCTGCATGATCCATCCGAAAGGCCTAAAAGACCAGGAGTTTAGGGTTCAGGGTTTAGGGTTTAGGGTTTAGGGTTTGGTTTTTAGGGCTTTAGGGTTTGGTTTTTAGGGCTTTAGGGTTTAGGGTTTAGGGTTGGAGTGGAGGCTTTAGGCGACTAAAGGCTGATACGGCTTTGTCTCTACCGGGGTCCTCCAAGGCCTTTGTAGATTTAGGGCTGAGGCCCGAGGGCCTGAACCTCTAAGCCCAAAAAAAACCCTAAACCCTAAACCCCAACCCCTAAACCCTTAAACCCTTAAACCCTAAACCCTAAACCCTAAAACCTTAAACCCTAAACCCTAAACCCTGCAGGACTTCTCGGACTGCGCCGTCACTCTTCAGCTGAAGGAGTGGTAGCACTCTCCCCACATAGTTCCTAGACACACCAAAACCCTATTGAAATTATTGCGGCCCTGTACTCAAGCCATGCCAACGCCCTATTATAAAGCCCTCGAAACCTCCTTTACGCTAGCTAAAAAAAAAGCCTTACTACAACGACTACACAATGTATCCTAAACCCTAAACCCTAAACCCTAAAACCCTAAACCCTTAACCCTAAACCCTCTTCAGCATCTGGGCCGGAGCTTCGGATGGAAAGCCAGGAAGGGTTTAGAGCCTTTTTAGGGGTTTGGGGTTGAAGCTTTAGGGTTTAGTGTTTAGGGCCGTTTTAAAGGTTTGGGGTTGAAGCTTTAGGGTTTAGGGTTTAGGGCCGTTTTAAGGGTTTGGGGGTTAGGGTTTAGGGTTTGGGGTTTAGGGTTTCGAGCCTTTTTAAGGGTTTGGGTTTAGGCTTTAGGGTTTAGCCTTTAGACTTCAGGATTCAAGCATAGCTGGCTTAGAGCGTTTTCAAGGGTTTCATATACGGCTTAAGTACAGGGACCGCAAGAATTTCAATAGAGTTTTAATATAGGAACTATAAGCGGATAATCTTAATGTAAGGGCCTTAATGATTAGAAGAGGGTTTTGGGGCTTCTGTACTATAATTATAGTATAATACACCCCCATAACCCTATTCAATTATGAAGGCCCCTATATTACCTATTACCTCCAATCCCGTGCAGAACCGACGGCATAGTTTAAGAATAGGTTTGAAAAGGACACGTGAACTCAAACTATGAATCCCCTAAGCCTGGGCGAGTTTACGGTTGAGGGGTTTAGGGTTTAGGGTTCAGGGTTTGATATTCAACAATGCGAGTCACTTGCCTAGACGTCGTTACCTGCTGTTGCGCAGTAGTACTATGCCTGTCCGTCGGCCCTCGCGACAACTGCAAACCTATCTGGTTGCTTCTACAGACACCAGACACCCCTCATGCACACCACTCCACACACACGCACACACACACACACACACGCACACGTGAGGCAACAGCAGTAGCAGTGGCAGTAGCAGTGGCAGTAGCAGTGGCAGTGGCAGTAGCAGTGGCAGTGGCAGTAGCAGTAGCAGTAGCAGTAGCAGTATAGCAGTAGGTAGTATTCGCGGTGGCAGAGGAACTTAGTGGCATGTGTAGAAGCAGTGACAGTAGTAGTGGCAGCGATTGTCGTGAAAGCAGTCCGAGGCAATCGTCGTCCTCTTACTGCCTACTGAGCCGACGACGGTTGTCCGCTGCTGAACTCCGCACCCCTAAACCCGACCCGAAACCCCTTTCAACACCAACGACCCTACAACCCTAAACCCTGAGACCCAAAATCCTACAGGACTACACCCCGCAACCTTGATCCTAAACTCATTCGTCGGCAGAGCGGCATTCCTCATTCAGCTCCTCTATCATCTGGTCCCTGGGCAGAAGTGAAAGTTGCAGAGGTTCGGGATCAAACCTTAAAATGTAGGGGCCTTAATAATTAGAATTAGGTTTTGGGGCCCATTATACTATACTTATAATAGGGAACCCCAAAATAGCATTGGTAATT